TCGGTAACGTTAATCACGCCACCGGCCTCGCGCCATTTTCCCGTGCCCCTATCCTCGTCCTGCTCGCCACAATAAACATAATGAATGGCGACTGTAGAACGCAAAAGCCGAATCCCGGACATTTTGGGCGATCTCGAAACACATTTTCGGCCAGACCAGAGAATGTCTAATTGAAGAGAATTGGCACTGTCTGGTTACTTCCGGTTACTGGACTGGCTGCAGTAACACGTCTCTTTCCATGCGGGGGCGCTCGCAGGCGAGTGCAGAATTAATGGGAGTCTATGGGGTTTCACCCCCAGAAATCCACTTTTCTCAGGATGTAATTTTTTGTCAAGTAATTTGAAAGTTGCATTCAAAAGGGAGGGCTAAGATAATACACTCAGCTGAAAATTGCATTTTTAAGTACACTTATCTGTTCTAAAAATCCGTTCAAAAATGTGATGACGTCACATAATAGCAGAATGCTAGCCTGTTCCGGCCAACAACGGCCTAACCTGTAAGAAATCGAAAGGACATAAGTACTCGTTCATTCGACTTTTGACCTATAATCTATATTGAACTTGCGGAATCAACAATAAAATCTATGTTAATTCAACGACAAGCAGGAGAACGAGATACATTTAGCCGTTTAGCTCCATAGACTCCCATTCATTCTGCACTCGCCCGCGATCACCTCCAGTGGAATTCTAATGGAACTGCAACCAATATGATACACAATGGGGCTAATAGGAAGTGCCAAGGCTCTCCGTTAGACGGGCTCTGGCCAGACTCATCACGGAGACTCACTAGTAGCCTAGACTTGTTGTTTAACTACTGCGTGCTGTTACTTGTAGGCGTGGCCTCCTAGGGCAGCGAAGCAAGTGCATTCTGGGAGTTGTTGTCTTTCATCCACATAAGCCAAAAATACATTTTCTGGCTTTTCTCAGTCTAGAAAGCTCCAAATTCTAAAATAATTTCACATTTCTTCTACATAAATGAGCCATTTTAAATACACATTCATCTTTCCAGAGGTGAAATATCCCTTTAAAGTCAAAATTAAATTGAATTTGACATATTTACTTAAATACACTATAACTAATACGGTAATCTTTGGTCCAGGTTATCCCCCCCCCCAAAAATCATTGTTAACAAATTGAGTTTCTTTTAAAGGGATAGTTCACCCAGAAAAAGAAAATTCTGTCATCATTTACTCTCCCTCATTTCATTCCAAATCCAAACACGTAAGACTTTTCCGTTCATCTTCAGAACACAAATGAAGATCTTTTTGATGAAATCTGAGAGCTTTCTGTCCCTCCATATATGCAACTACCACTTTGACGCTTCAAAAAGTTCATAAAGAGATTGTAAACCTAATCCATATGAATTGAGCGGTTAAGTCCAAATTTTCTAAAGAGACTTGATCACTTTATGATGAACAAATTGAATTTAGGCTTTTTTTCACATAAACATTGATCAGCGAACATAAACAGAAGCTCAACCGAACTTGATGCGCTAAAATGTCCTTCGTTCCTCAGTCTCAGCTTTTAAAATTAAGTATGGTGTCTACTCCTAGTCTATTAAAAGGGCAGTTGCTACAAATACTAATTTCTACTGTGCTAATTAAGTTGTTTTCACTCACAGTATATGCTTTTTAAAATTGTGTTCTTTCAATATTTGTACTCATTCCTAAATACTCTGTCACTAGTTCTTCTAATTTGTCTCTAATACAGACACTGTTGCTTCTTGTCAATAATTAATGGAGTTAAGTGCAGACGAGGTGTTGAAGGCCAAGCGTGTGTGCGTGCGTGCTTGTGTGTGTGTGTGTGTGTGTGTGTGTGTGTGTGTGTGAGTGAGACTTCCACACACAGAGAGAGAGAGAGAGAGAGAGAGAGAGAGAGAGAGAGAGAGAGAGAGAGAGAGAGAGAGAGAGAGAGAGAGAGAGAGAGAGAGAGAGAGAGAGAGATGCATTCCAGATGGTGGAATGATGAGGTGGGTTTCACTGGACCGGTAAACATTCCCAGGGATGTTTGCACAGAGAAATTCTTCATCGACTGCGAAGCAAGCATGTTTCCTTTTTATCCGATCCCTCCCTCTCCTCTTTCTCTCGCCATCTCCCTCACTTTTCTTGGATTCAGACCTTCGCTATCATCACCTGCTGCAACTGTTCGAACCCTTCACACGAGTCTCTTCACTTTTCCTGACACAGTGTCATGATAATTTTAATTTTTCTCTGTTTATTTCCCTAGCCAACGGGGAACGTTCTCAGAACTTTAACATTCTGGCAAGGTTCTCTCAAAGTTGCGTTCTTCTGGTAACATTAATAGAATGTTCATTCAAAGTTATCTGGTCTTTAATAACGCTCTCAAAACGTAAGCACACAAATTTAATTTATACATGGTTAATGGAACTTTTTTCCTGAAACATTTTAGTTTAATGTTCATTTAACATTTTTTCAGAATGTTCAGAGAACAAAAAGTAACATTCCCATAATGTTTGCAAAATGATAAAAGGGAATGTTCCATCTGTATAGCACAGAAAAACGTTTTTCAAACACTTTGACATTTTGAACGTTCAGAGCACATTTAGAAATAACATTTTCATAACTAAACTTATGCTGTGTTGAAAACCCTTAACACTTTTTGTGTTCTCGTTCAAAAAAATTGCTTGTAAATTGCTCATTATGCTATATTAATATCCAAATATTGGATTCAATCTTTTTGTCAACTGGTTTTCTTTCAATTATGGCAGGTTTTGTATTTCTTTTAGGAACTGATTGATTATAGGCTTCCTTTATCTGAGGTTATGCAAAAAAAAAAAAAACATTATTTGTGGGTAAATTTGGTAATATTGAATAAAATGTAAAAATATTCCGTACAATTTATCACACTAGTGTGCTTTAATGTTTATCACAAAAAATGGCAAAAGAATTTGGGGAAGTAGTTACCCTATAGGAGTAAAGTCAGTAAGTTTTAGTCCAATGCGATAACGTTAATGTCAAAATGACCCAAACAGAGCACGACTGCTGAAAACTAAGCTTTGCCATCACAGGAATAAATTAAAAACAATAATATTGTGAAATGTTTGTGGAAAAAACCCCTGCATGTCGAGGTTGGAAAAAAATTATTTTAAAAATTATTTTATATATCCATGATGTATGTGTATTTTTTTCCAACCCTTTCATACATGTATCTTTTGTGTCTGCATGCATGCATAATTGTCGTGGTGTGTGTGTAGGTTGAGGAATAGCCGTGGTCGTGCCGCAGACAGAATCAATAGCAGTCTCAGTATGGGTGTTTCCAAGTCTGTTTGGATTTGCTAAGTAAAGTCTGCGACTCACCTGCACTTGAACATTTTCTCTGCCCTTTAACCTCCTCCACACATTCCAGTTATTCTTACCGTCTCAGCTTTCTTACATCTGGTGGGGTGAACTGCTTTAGTTTTACTTTGAATACCTCGAATGTGTTCCTCCTGCCCTCCAGTCGCCCTTCATTCCTGTCGTTCACGGTTTCTCCTGCAGTCTGTCCTCCCTTTTTAGCTTTCCGTCTCTCCATCAAATATCTGTCTGCCCTCATTTACTTTTCTCTTTCTTTGAATAACACACACTCAGTCTCTCTGTCTCTCTTTCATTTCTTTCAAGTGGTAGACTATTTATTGTCTGATATTTTTTTGCCGGTGCTAATTTTTTCCCATTTTTACATTTAGATTACATTTTCCTGCTAAAATCTAACGCTCACTTGGTTAATCTTTAAAAACACTAATTATTCAATAACACTGTGAATGTAATTTAGCATATCTCTAAAAAATGTTATACTGCACACTTTAACGTTGAAATGCCTAAATTCATTTTTAGCATTTCAATTGATTGATTTCTGCTCATAATATTTTATTTTCAAATTATTTAGACAGAATAGCAAATCATTTTAATTTCTTGCTCCTTCAGTCCATGGTAATTGTCTCCAAATTCTCCTTGGATTGTTTCTGAGCCTTTTACAACCCAATAATCAGTATTTTGAAAGGTTTCTCTGTCGCAAACGGTACATTTCTCACCCTTTGATCCATTTTGTTCGTCAATGCTCTTCAGCTTTGTTATTATTTGTGGTTTTTTTAAACCTCTTGACATTCTCACAGTTGTCAAAGGAAGAATAAAGTGCCTGTGGTATCATAATAGGAAGCTTTAAAATGATTTTTTTTGTGTTCGCTAACAGCTCAGGGCTCATTTTCCAAAAGCATTGTGAGCCCAAGTTGATCGTAAAGACCATTGCCACAAATGTTCTCTACGACTTACAACTTAGCTTGCGATGCATTTGGGAAACGTAGCCCAGGCCAGTTTGAAGTCAGTCGAACTTTTTTATTTAATTTTTAAGAGTTAAGCTGAATGTAGGCCAGCAGTGGGATGTGGATCAGAGGGCTTTTTTTTGCATCTCTAATACATTGTGAGCTTGATCTGGGAATGCTGAGCTCCGTAAGAGCCGCGCTATGGATTAAAACATTTTCTCGGCGGTTTAAACATGCTGAGATCCTAAAAATACAGAACTCGGAAATTAAAAACATATCTATGCATCACTGTCCTGTCAGCCGTTACGAGACCTAAATCCCCCTGAGTTTTGCACAAAAAAAATATTTTATTCGTCATTTTCTAGGAAGGATAAATTTATTTGATAAGCAAAAATCACATACGATATTACGTTAATGCTTGTTTTCAGAGATTATATCTTGAATTAGGTTTATTGTGCCTATCCCACTGGCAAATTGTCACGTTTTAAGTATATATATAAAAAAAAGAAATGTATATTGTGAAAACAATTCTTTGTATCTTACACGGTTTTACTTACTAATTAAAATAAATATTATTTTAAGAATTTTTTTTTTTTTACTGTAAAACATAATTAGCTGATTAAAAATATTTTTGCAGTCTGACTCAAAAAAACTAATTTTAAAACATAAATCACTGTTGTGATGTTTCACAAATATCTATTTCAAACCGTTTTAATAATGATGTTTTTTCCCTCTTTTCTCTGCAGTTTTGTGCGCAAAGAACCTGGTGAAGAAAGACTTCTTCCGTAAGTATCCAGCCTTCATAAATACTGAGAACGAGCATGTGTGTGAACGAGTGAACTGCGAGAGCCCTCTATGCCTGTCACCGTGTCTCAAGCACTGTGTTTTAGCAGGGGCTCGTCTGTTAAAAGTTTGCAGAGAGAGATAAGTGCTCTTTCCCCACGAGACAGCAGAAATGTGGGTCAGTTCGGGGAGACAGAGCAACCGCTGGTTGACACATGTATACTCGCCACAGTTTCTCCACCTCGATTCTCTCTACCCCGACAAACACAAACAACCAAGCCCACATCTGAAACTCTCATCAGATATCAAAGAGAGAGAGATACGTTGTTGGGAGGGTGGGAAGAGAGACGGGTACCAGGCGAGTCTGAGGAAAAAGAGGAGAAAGTAAAAAAATGTACGAGCAGAAATGTGAGAGTTTTAGCAGAGACCATATGTAGTTAAATGAAGACTAGAGTCTCTTCTCTTTGTAAAACTTCATGCATATCTTCCCCTTCCTTCTCACCCTACAATTGAATTCATAAAGCCACACAGATCTGATTTCTGTTGATTCAGGTAGCCAAAATAGCAGAATTAAAAAATATAATGAATAAAGAGAGAGAGAGAGAGAGAAACAATACTTTGGGGGAAAGTATTTGTTAGGAATAGGGATATACTGATATAGTTCTGGCTAATAATCTACTAATAGTTAATTATGCAAGGGTTAATGCCCTTTGAGGTGTCCATTGTCAGGTATTAATGGACGACTCCGCCGAAGACGATACCTAGACAATGGACACCTCGAAGGGCATTAAACCAGCTTATACCATAGTCACTTGCCAAATAACACATTTTTAAAACATTAGTTTATATTTTAATTAGTTTTACAATCGAAATCTAAAGTTTTTACAAACAATAACTTGGTTTCCCTGGTTACGCCTGACGGTTTATTTAGCAACCGGAGATATTTATTGGCCGCTCAGCTCAGAACCCTTTCAGTTTAGCTAACTTCGAGCCAGAAAGTTAATGTAAGTTAAGCTTGTCTAGCCATGGACGTTACACTTTCGTTTTTTAACCTATAATTAAAACATATGTATAACGGCTAACTAGATGTTTGTTTTGATACAATAAATTGTAAACAGATACTTTGACTGCCTGTTGCTATGGTTACTCACAGCTGATGTAGCCAGCGCATTTATTTATTAATTTCGAACGGTAAACAGTCAGTTTCACCAGAACTCCTTTTCTAGGTGTCCGCTATCACTTTTTAATGGACACCCTGCAGCCAATCAGAATCGAGTATTCACCCAGACCATGGTATAATTCCCTGTAATGGCTGAAAACCTATAAAAAAAAGCTAAAAGCTAAAAATGTTTTGTGATGTGTAAGGGTCACAATATTATAATGTGAATTATGAAATATAGATAACTGCTTATTTTGAAATAACCAATATGGCCAATGTTTAAAAATTTCATTTAAATACTAAATCTAATTTAAACAGCATCAATGCTAAAGTGCCAATCTAGAGTACTATATGTGTATTCAATCCAATCTTAATTCTTTTTATGAATGCAAGTATTAAATGACCACCAGTGTCGGCTGTAATGCAGGAAAAGTACTTTTTGGAAGTAACCCGTCCCACACAAATTATGTTAATTTAATTGCTCTCATTGTAAAAAAAATCAAACTATCCTTAAAAACCATAAACTGTAGCAGTATCGTTACATAATTGGTTATAAAAGTAATGTTATATACAGCGCAATGAGTACGGCTTCAGACCCATTTATTAAAAAGAAAATTGGAAATATCAAAAAGGAAAACTGAAATATGATTTAAAATTGAATAATATTCTAAAGTAATTTAGCTGTAACATGATAAAATGGGAAAAAATGAAGTAACCTTTCTGAATGCACTGTAAATGTTATATAATATTGTGTGGGAATAGCACAATCAAACACATTACTTGACAGTCTCTATTTCTAGTGTTAGTGTGTCAGTAGTATTTGGAGCTTTAGTGTTTTGGATTCTGCTGCAACATTTACAGGTTTCACAAATACATTTTAATCTACATTATGAACTTGTATTCAATGCCGTCTTAAATTCCAGCTCAGAAGATGTTGTTTCTGTGTTTTGCAGGGCTGCCAGACCCCTTCGCTAAGGTGGTGGTGGACGGTTCAGGACAGTGCCACTCGACAGATACAGTGAGGAACACTCTGGACCCCAAATGGAACCAACACTATGACCTGTAAGAGCTCTTCCTGGTCTGATTACAATTCAATGGCTTTCTCAGTCACACACACACACACACTATCACACCTTGATTTCCTTTAAACCTTATACCACCTCAGTTTAAAAGAAATATAAACCTGAGACAATAATGTTTAGAAACCAGAATCCAGAGGAAGACGACTCTGAAATAGACTGATTTCGAAGCACATGGCCACTGTCCCGTAGTTTGAGTCTTACAGATTTGGCTTTTAGTGCTGTCAGACTATCATTAGATGGCTCGAGTGGTTTCATTTCGGTCATTTTTCTGTGTGAGTCACCACATAGAAACTGTGCCTGTTTTTGACATCTCATTTAAGTGTGCTTATTAGGGATGGTAAGGTTCAACGATTCGCATCGGTGCATCGGCATAAAAGCTAACGATGCGATGCATCGATTTAAATAAGTGTGCATCGGATACAAGTTGGCATTTGTATCGCGATGCATCGTTTCTAACATCTGCATCGGTAAAAAACGATTTATTCAATTATTAGTAGATGCGCTATACTTTTACTATTTAGAAAGTGACCAATCATTTGTGACCAAAATTTTATTATGTAACTGCTGCGTTCACACCGAACGCGGATAGAGCGTCTGTAGCGAGTGATTTCCATGTTAACGGTAGAGATCCACTTGTCCAACACGACAGTCGCGTGGTGTCGCGACGCCTCCCCACATTTGTACTTTGATGGGCGTTCCTCAAGTTTACCGCTATGGGCGTGGTTTTGAGCCAGCGGCCAGTCTAGGACAATCGACCCTCGAGAGACTTCCCCCCCCCCGTCTCCATATGCTCTACTTCTATTGGATAGACGCGTCGCGTTCAACGGATTAATTTGCATAAAGATGGGCATCGGCCAGCTTTTTGACGCGCAGCATTTTTCCAAATGAAGCGCTGCCTTCCCGGGATGCTTTGCGGGTGCGTTAAAGTCGCGTGACCTCACCCATAGGAATAAAGCTAAACGCGGTGCGACAGAAGTATCGCACGGACAAGTGGATCCGCACCCTGAGGGCCGTTACATAGTCAACGCGAGCAAGCAACGCGAGCGACGCGAGCTACACGCTCCTTTTCATAGTACACAAGCAGACGCAAACGTCACCGGCGATGCGTGAAAAGCAATACACCGATCGCGCAACAGGGGGTAGTAGAGTCTAGAGTCGGGTCACGTGATATTCAGATCAAAATGGCAACTGAAGAGGAGTGCATATTGCTGATTTTACATCACCCGCCATTGTATTCAAATCTTCTTCTTCTGTAAACATAATAATATACCTTTTTATGTACATTACTTGCAATGTCGCCCCCACCGACAACGCATAGTATTGCGTGCATCGGCGCGTCGCGTATCAAAAACTAGGATGACACATTTGGCTACGCATCAACGCATAATGGCGGCCGAAGCGTAGCGATGTGTAGCCTTGCGCATGCGTATGCGTACCGATGCATTGACTATGTAAGGGCCCTAAGGGCCCTGAGTCATTGTAAAGACGCGTTGACGCGGGTCTGGAGGTCCTGTGGCGCGAGACGCGTTTAGCGCGGTGCACTGGACACGATTTCGCCTCATTTGCGCGTCCAGTTCGACTAGATTGATTTCTCCTTTCTGAACTGTTGCTCAAGCGCGTTCTCTCATCACCACTGCTGCAGATGCTACATGAATATGACGTATCACAACACTACGGAGTGCGAGGCGTGTCCTGAGAGTCACCTTTAAACCTTAAAGTAGGACATTAAGTTAATCTGGTTTACAGAAGCCTGTGACTGCAAATAATAGTTTTTCATAGATGTATATTTTTACATCTGAATACAGTTATGAAAGACCTGTTTGTGAAAGTTTTTTATTTATTTATGTTTATTCTTTGTTAAAACAGCACCTGCTTTTATTTAATCTTTGATTAAGCCTAAATCTTTCATCTTTAATAAAGTTTTGTGAAGAAATATGAAAGAATATGCGTTAAAAGTCAGATGGCACTTAAGCTACTTTATGATTTGCTGTATGTCTGAATAAAAGAAATAAAAGTTAACCATCTATACCATATTGAATTGCATAGCATCATATTTTTCTCCATTGCATCGTATTACATTGAATCGCATCGCGTTGAATCGGATCGCACCGCATCGTAAGAGTTGTGAATCGTATTGCATCGCATTGGTAGCTGCTTATATGTATCTTTAATGTATCGTATCGTTGCCAATGCATCGAGATGCGTATCGCATCGGCCTCAGCTATGGAGATGCACATCCCTAGTGCTTATGGATTATGGCTCACCGTGTTGAAAACATTTGGATTGAAAAGGAAACAAAAATGCATAATACAATAGGGATGTCACGGTACCAAAATTCCAGTAGTCGGTACCGATACCACTACAATTTTACGGTTCTCGGTACCAATTTCGGTACCACAGCAAAATCTGTTTTAACTATTTTTCCAATTTATTTAACTATTTGAATTTTTTTTTTTTAAATTCAGTTCAATGACTTTATTATTTATGATGGTAAATTTATGAAAGCATTGAAGGCTACATGCTGTTAAAACGAAAATATTGATGATATTGAGAAATATTGCTTATAAAAAAATCAAGTGAAAAATAAGCAACCTTCTATGCACACATTATTATTATTATTAGTAGTAGTATTTGTAATTAATGGAGACATAGTTAAATCTATTGTAGCCTACAGTAGCCTAATATAATTATTTCTGTCAATTTCTTTAAGTTAAACCGAACTTTTATTTTGACGGGTTGCCGTGGAGACCTTTGAGTTTCTGTGTGTTTATGATATGACGATATTTTTTCTCAAATGAAACGGTAAAATGCTCATGAAGTGACTCTCAGAGTGGCTCTGGAGATGAATTGAATCATGAATCATGTCATCATTTCGTGAGGCAGCAGAGACTGAAAACATGCGCGAGCGTCACTCGTGCTTCAGTGTGTGTGTGTGTGTGTGTGTGTGTGTGTGAGGTAACGTTAAAACCGCGCGTCTGCGCCGTTCATTCACACAGAGACAAGCAGAACATGCAGGGTTAATATTTAAATAGTCTTTTTGCAGTTTAATATACACAGCCACCACATCAGCAGCGCCGCCGGTCGCCATGTCTCTCAGCGCTTTCATAAGGAGGACGCAACTTCACGTGCATGCATGCGCATCCAGAACTGGGTTTGACCGGGTACTCGGTACCACCGGTAATTGGTACCGTGACGTTTAAAATTGTTTAGTACCGACTTGGTACCGAAGTACCGAATATTGTGACAACACTATAATACAATATATTTCTTCCCATCATGGTGTTCCAGATTTGTATGTTTTTTCTGTGGAACAAAAAAGTTCACGGAGACGAAGAGGCAGACAGACAGCACACCCTGTTTATTTTTTTTATTTACCAAAAGCACAATGTTTTATTTCGATTGTAAGTGGACACATAAAAGTAGACATTTAACAGTTTATTTTTTCATATTTCTTAAGTCTGTATGACCAAAAATGATGGAGTATTTTAAGTCTATTTTGCTGGCATGTGAAAAAAATCGAGTAAAACGCGCCGGGTTTTTTTTAGGTGTAAGGGCGTTAATTTCTTCTTCTTCTTTTTTTTTTTTTTAAACCACTTCACCAAAAAAATCCTACCCTGCTGCAGCTAATTTCATTGGTTTAGGTTACCATGATGGGTAGGTTTAGGGATCAGTGGCTGCGTTTACACTGGCACAACAAATCCGATCTTTTACTCACATCCAGGGCCTGAAATTAACACCCGACCACCTGCCAAATGCGGGTGAATTTTGCTATTGGCGGGTAACACTGTCAATCTACCTGCCACATTGGCAGGTAGCCAATGAGAATTGAGTGATTCATTAGGGTTTTTTTTTACGTTTTCATTTTCATTGCGTTGGACCTTTAGCTATAATGTGGCGGCACATTACTGGGGTAAAAAGGCCAGCTGAAACAAACAACCAACAGAAAGATGAGGATGAGTCAAAGAAAAGTAAAATAAGACATTTTAATACAAAGTGGTCAATTGGAGACAACGGCAAGGTTCGTGAGCGGCTGATTTATGACAGCGACTGTTGTTTCGTAACGTTCATGCGATCAGAAAGAAGATGAGGCCCTTTTCTGACTACGTTTGGATGTGCGAGTATTAAACTGTTGGTGAGATGGGATGAGATAATGTAACGCTGACGTAGGCTCCAGAACAATGACAGTTGCACAGATGTGTGCGTGTGCAACTGTAGTACATGTTGGGAGTTGGGAACCGGTGAGAAAATGTCCGGTACCCGGTAACTTTACCAGTAATAATATTAATTTAGTTCTGCTTAACGGTTCCTGAACGCTGTAACTAAAAGCTGTTAGGACCTAGCTGTCTACGTGACTAAATCAGCCATCAACACAGCCGCGGGTGATTTGTTTACATACGAGCTGCGGTAGGTCTATAGATCTGTTGTGCGTGTGTGTGTCAAAATCAATGAATAAAAAGATTTTTTTTAAATGTATATTCTAAGAGTTATTACTTATATTGATTTCGTTAATAACTTGACAGCACTTAAATGTGTACAAGTTAAAGAACAATATTGTGAAATTCCCGTTTTTCACCTTTAGGCTATGAGCCAAAAAAAAAAAAAAAGGCTGGTAAAAAGTCTCTGTGGCAGGTGAATTTTTATATCCACCTGCCACAGTGGCTGGTGGCCAAAAAAGTTAACTTCAGGCCCTGCTCACATCTGACACAGATCGGAATTGGTTGCCCACGTGTAAACACAAAGATACGATTTTTTTCACACTTCCAAACTCAGTCTCTCTCTCTCTCTTTCTCTCTCTCTCTCTCGCTCGCTCGCTGTCTCTGTCTGGTTAATTCATTCGAATTCATTAAAAATATATATATTGGGCTACTTTATTTCACTTCAGAATTCTAGATCTGAGCTGTAGATAAACTCAAAATATTTAGTTTTTATTGACTATATCTGTTCCGTCAGATTTTGCGCTGCCAAACATTCATGAGTCAT